ATACTGCTGATTCAGCGGGATCTTTGAAAGATCCACAATAATTAGTATGTCCAAACAGCGCGCCGATCAGTTTAGAGCCCCCTGGATCCTCCAATAATCTTGACCCTTTTATTGTGCAGCCTAGCCATGAGACTTGTTCCACATTACTTGTTCTCACCACCAGTCCTGATTTGCAATATCGGTTTACGATGATTGTGTAATGTCTCAAGCCAAGACTTCTGCTTCCCGACGGGAGAAGAGCCAAGACAGGTGGCTTTCAATGCAGCTTTGACATTCGGTGAAGATAAGAGACTGCCCTGGTGATCTATACCTTCCTGGTATATAGATGCCAAGGTAATGGCGACATCTTACCCCGTTTATATGGCCAAGAAGTCGGTATCAAACGGAGCGTCCAGTGAAGTTTGGCAAATTGCCAAGCAAGTGTGCTCTATGTGATGGCTACTACGGTCCACATTTCGATAGCGAGCAGCGTTGACGAGAGCAATGAGAGGAATTCAAATCGTCATCTGCTCTCATTGACTCTGCGAAGCGAGTCAAGAGGCGTCTATATAAAGCCACCTATTCCTCCTCTTTCTCGGTCAACAACATCGCTCAGACCAACAAAACCTCTCCACTAGAATCATTTCTTAAGATGCACTTCCCCAAGCTCATTTTTACTCTCCTCGTGGCGGGCACAGCAGTTGCCCATCCTGGCCCACACGACATCCTTCCCCGTGCAGAGATTCAGCGGCGCAGTGAAATGGCCAAGCGATGCGCCAGCCATGTTGGAAGCTTTAACCAGCGCCGCATTGCTAAGCGAGCAATGCAGAAGCGTTGGGAGGGATCCGGCCACAATACCACGTTCGAGATAGTCACCGAGGCTCCCTACTACGAGACTATCCAGAACAACACTTGCGTGCTCACCCCAGAGGTCACCCGCGGTCCCTATGTCTGGCCTCGCTCCCAGACCCTTCGTCAAGACATGGCCGAAGACCAGCCAGGTGTGCCCCTCTGGCTCGACATAGGAGTCCTGGACATGGCCACATGTGATCCGTTGCCCAACGCCCTCCTCGACTTGTGGCACTGCAACGCAACGGGCTCCTACTCCTCATTCACGGGCCTTTCCCCCAACACCCCCTTCGAAACACTCCTCTCTGAGTTGAACGTTACCGATTATGACATGGGTGTCACGGACCTGCACACGGACGATACCACCTGGCTGCGCGGTATGTGGCCGACGAACGAGGACGGCGTTATGGAGATGAAGACTATATTCCCAGGTAAGTCATTTTCACTGCCAATATAGGTACATGTACTAATTTATACGTAATGTAGGCTTCTACGTTGAGCGTGCCATCCACATCCACGCCCAAGTCCATACCGACTGGACTGTTCGCGAAAATGGTACCATCATCGCCAGTAACACCGTCAGCACTGGCCAGCTGTACTTTGAGGAGGAGCTTGAACAAAAGATTATGAGTATGGAGCCTTATGTGTCTCATACGCAGATCAACCGGACCACGAATTCTGAAGACACGGTATTCCCTGAGGATTTGGAGGGTGGATATAACCCGGTTGTGTCTGTTGTTCCTGTAGATGAGGACGATCTGTCCAAGGGGTTGATCGGATATATCACTATTGGTGTGGACACGACGGCGATCGAGACGTTCAGTAAATAGACCGATGTGAGCTTTGTGTATAGGTCGATAGAGTCAGCATAGATATTCTCAGATAGATATAGACGGGACCTTTACCCCTATTGGTCTCAAAAAGATGGACAAGAAGCTACAAGATAGAATGAAAGACACAACCTAGCTAGAAAGGCAGAAAAACCGAGAATAGCATGACACCGAGTCCTTAGAGAGGAATTCGCTGCTCAATCATACCATACCATACATACCATACCACCAAAATACCCTCCCTCCTATATCCCAAATCAGTAGTCTAAACACAAACTTTACCTGAAATCCAACTAAAGCTTAGGCCGATCAACTCCTCACCCACCTCACCTGCATCCATTCCCTTTCCTACAGTACTAGGGCTCGCTACCCTACCCAATCAGAGAAAGACATACACTGTCCAGGATGTATTCCAGTCCCAGGCGTTATTTCCACTCCACCACCCCTCATTGGACAGGCAAAACCTCACGGCTGCACGGCCGCACATCTCCGCTAGCCAATTGATTAGCCCAACCTCAACATAGCCGCCATCGAAGCGATGAAGCAGTTGAGTCGTTAGCTTGATACTTCAGTAGTAGGTCAGATGTCACCTCACAAGCACAGACATCCAATGGCCCAGCCAAATTGCGGCGGTGAGGAATCAAGAACCTCTCTTTTCCCTTTGAGTAATTCTACAAAAAAATAATCTATAATCAGCTGGCCTCTCCGTAGCCTACTAACTCAATCTGGAAACTGCGCAGCCTCAAACCTCATACAGAAGAAAATGACAATACCCTGGTTTTCTCGCCTACGACATCCCAGCAAACTCATATACTTGACGAAATCGATTGGTTCGGCGGCGAAGGGAACTTGGTTCCGGTCACACGAACCGAACTACTAAGTAGACCTTGGACTCCTTCGTGGCCAGTATTCACCCAACCCATCCGTCCTACAATGTCTGCACTAGAAAACTCTGACCGGACTGACTGGCTGGCGAGGCGCCATCGGCATACTCCCCAGATACTATAGACCCGCTCATCACAGAGGGTAGCATCTAGAGCTGCAGTATCATTCAGGGAAGTTTGAGCAAGATGCTCAGCCTCCATTTACAAGGCAAGTCTGTCTGCCTTAGTTGGGTCCTTTTGCCATTACTTTAATTGATTATACGTCAACTGATTGGCCAAGTCCTACCCTGCATATGCATAAGCTTTTAGTACAAATGTACCCCCCAAGTTGCTCTATCAGCGTGCCGGGGCGGCTAGATAGCCATCCTCACGTCACACAAAACATAGCAGGAACTACGTTAGTCTTAGAGTGGGTATACGATGTGACGGTGTCAGGTAGTACTTTTTTGGTACTTTTTTAAAGGTTTCCGGCTCAGCTGCTGACTTTCGTCCCGTCCACCAAATACTAGATTTGGACGGGCTACGCATTAGCCAGCCCGTTGCTGAATGGGGTTTTGTGTGGGGTGTAAGCATTCATCGTAAACTTTCTTCTTATGGGTTTTTGTAGTACAAACTCGATTCCATCTATCTACTTACTATATTCATTTATCAAGTAGTGTAGTGCTAGGCTTATCATCATCGCATTTTCATATTCTGGCAGCCTACTACTAGTACACTGAAGAAGAATATCGCAAGGACTGTCTATCATCTCCCCATCATGCCTAAATTATACCAGTTGAATGGGGTTGCTAGCACCTACCTGAGTTATTTGTCACCGGCGGATGATCCCCCTCGTGTCATTGTAAGCTAAGTGGATACTACCGTAGCTTGTATATGGCTTAGCGTGTGTCTTTACCTTCAACCCAAGGGCCCGTCCAATCAATAGAAGAAGAGGGTCTGTGAGTCTGCAGGGTATCGGATCCTGTGAAAGTCAGTGCCAAGAAAAATGGTCGAAAATATGTCTTCGAATTTATTTTTGATCCTCAAGAAGGCGGGTTCGGATTTGGATGAGGTGGTGGTCGGAGACCACGCGGGAAGAAGAGGAGGCAAAGGCTGGTACTACCCAATCACTACCTTGTTGTTTTTGAAACAGTCAGGAGTCGGGAATGGAGACAGACGACTGGTTGCCTACGGATGGTCGCTTAAGGCTACTACCTTCTGGTTGGTGTAGCTTGTGGGACATCTTCCGGGAGTCTATGCAGCTGCAGGGTTGACGGTCCTGACGTGTCCAGTATCTTTCTCACGGCTGTGATCCCTGTGGATGACGAACGGAGGAAACCGCGGGAGTTTCCCGAGTAATGCTTCTCGGTCATCGGAGCTGGGCTGGGTCATTGTGATAAGGGTGTTTATCCAAATTCCTGTTGGTCTAGACTAGAGCAGATTCCGATGCAGCTTGGAGTTGGTGGCACAAGAGCAGGGCGGGACCCAGGCCATTCTAAACCCGGATCGAGCGAAATCCGACGAAGCGAAATTCAGGTCAGCTTTCGTGCTAGAATGGGGGACTTCTAACGTTAGTGACGCGGAGGTGGCCAATGTGGTTGGAAGTTGGCTTCAGCCTGCAGTTCAGAACACCATGGCCATCTGACTACACGGAAATCTCACTTCAGGCACAAAAGGATTTCCATAGTCGAGTATGCTCTATCTCTCCGGCCGGGATTCGGAGCTAGTGGCTTTGCGGGATCAGCGTATGGAAGGTCTAGAATGATTCGATTTTATGGAGTTTAGATGTGACCCTCGGGCCTATCTTGCATCGGACTGCTTACACAACGAAAGGAGTTTGTGCAGCAGAATTAGTTATTCCTCTCTGCAATAGCACGCCCACTGAGACATTTTTTTTTTTCTTGATTAGTGAGCTCGTTATTAGTTTGTCTCAAGTTTCGGCAGTGATAGGCTAGATCGATGCTTACTTGACTGATCCCCATGTGAACGGCCTAACAAATTCATTTCTCTGAGTGGTCATGCAGACGGACGTTAGTACTGCATTACTTACCAACTTGAGTAAGAAATAGAATAAAATAAAATCAATCAAGTAGTATGGTTGAAAGCTCGGTGGGAAGGGATAGTTCCAACGGTCGAAGGAACCACCTGACAAACGGACAAGTGGGGCGGACAGGTGGAGCAGATGAGCTATGTAGTGGAGATCGAAGCAGACCCCCAGCTGTTTAGATATTGATCTCTTTGAGCAGGCACCTTTGACAATGCCATAGTTGGTATCCCCGTCGTAAGTGGTCAACGGTCAAATCTCCGAGGTAAATGGCAGGATCGCCCCTTCCCCGCAGCATCATTGTTAGCCGATAAGCCTATCAATTCAACCCCGCTGTGTAGATAAGACGGACTCTCACAAAAGAGGCTTGTCCGCCCCCATCCATCAAGCCTTCCAGTTTCTCGTAAACTTCAGCTCCTGCTAGTGTAACATCAGCCAATCTGCCCAAAATGTATTCCAAAGTTGAAGAGCCGCCCAAACTGGTACTCACCGGCACCTCAAGAGAGGTAGGTCCTAGCAAAACCCCCTGTGCCTTTCCACCGCTTGAACCTGGTAACTCAGTCTCTCGTAATGCCTGCAGATCGGTTTCCATCATGGCTCCCACCTTCGGCCGCAGATTAGCAGCCAAATCACCATCTATGAAGAGATGTTCCAGGTGAACTGTAATTTGTCCTGGGATGCAGTCAGGCGGCAAGCAGACCAATTCGCGGTCACGATTCAACGCGCCACCCCCCACCTCTACCAAGAAATGGAGGGCATTGCAGAGGGTGCAGGGGTGGATGTGCTCGACATTGTGGCCCTGAACTGTCGGAGTGAATTAACTTTTGGCAAGTTCACAGATGGCTGCACCAGCCTTTCATGGAAGAGGAACGAGCACTGTCGTATTCTTGCCCAGAACTGGGATTTCACCACTACGATACGGAAAAACATCGCGCTCATGAGGATTGAACAGCCTGGTAAACCAACCATTCACATGGTCACTGAGGTGAGTCACTTCTCATGTAGGGTCCGGATGCACGTCGTCACTTTTCCGGTTGAATGTCCGTCATTAAATGTGCAGTAGGCTGGCATCGTGGGTAAAATCGGCTTTCAACAGTGCCTGTGTTGGGACTTGTCTCAACGCTATCCGAGCCCATCCTTGTGTTCCATCCAAGATACCCATTCACGTTGCTCTGCGGCTCTGTCTGGAAAGTACTTCGGTCGATGAGGCAGTGCAGACGCTAGAGTCCCTCGGAGGTGTGGGATCTAGCCAGCACATCTTGATTGCTGATAGTAAAGGCTCGCTGGGATTGGAGCTGTCTCCCCTGGGTGATGTACATCTTCAGCCGGACGAGTATGGTATGGTAGCACACACAAATCACTTTTTAGAGAATCGACTTGTCTACGAGCCACCATGGTTGACTGGCTCGCCGATCCGATTGGCACGGGCCCGGGAACTGACCCGGGAGCTAATTAGGGATAAAGTGCTTGAAGAGGATGCCATTATTGGGCAAGTACTCAGGGAAAGAGTATTCTCTGATACTTACAACGCCCCCCAGTCAATCTCCTGTCAGGAAGACGTGGCTAGGCCTCCAATCTCACGGTCGTCGACACTCTTTAATATTGTCATGCGTCTGGAACCGGAGACGCTGGGCGCAGAGGTGGTCATTGGACGACCGGGTTCCGGAGAGGAGAGTGACCTACTGAAGCTGCCCTTCCAGTGATTGAATGCAATTCCCAATCGGGAAGGGAAAGAGGACTGAATATGGAAGTGAACTTTGAGTGATGGTCCTGTATTCGCAAGGCCGCCATAGTTAATGTCTGTCAATACTGTGGAATATCCCGATCTCTTGGGAATACCTACGGAACTTGCATTCGCAGAATCGGGAGGATCCTCCACTGTTCAGTTAATTCAACACCCATTCTCCTCTATATAAGATCACCCTTCTCCCGCTCAGCTTCATCTAGCATTCCAACCATCTATATAGATCTTTGTGTTCTACAATTATCCCAGGCTGCAACCCTAGGTCACAGTTGGTCACATCCTGGACGGGGCCCCTTCGCCGGGGCCCGCGGCTCGACACCGAATCACTGCCCTTGAACATAATATCACTTCTTACTCGCCTGAACCGTGTTATTCTTGTTACACACAGTGATGATGTTGTCGAGCTAATCACTGGGATGATTCACTGTGTCTTGCAGTGAACGAAGAGATGGTTGCAGCCTTCCTAGGGGTATATAAGTCTCCCAGAATCCAGGGGAAACGTGTTCTTGTTTATATCCCAAATCTTTTCACAGTTTTATACTGTCTATACCGTTCTTCTCTGAAGAGTTGCTTCTTGGAATGCTATCTTGATCGCTTTCCTGGTGCTTTTCTGACCTTCTGTAACCGGTTGCCTCTTGAATGCTCTCTTGATAGCTTTGCTGAATGCTTTCTTGAATGCTCTCGTGATCGCTTTCCTAGGCATTCCTGATTACTCTCCTGGTTGCTTTGCTGAAGGCTCTCTTCAATGCTCTCCTGACTTCTTTCCTGATGCTCTCCTGAATTCTCCTTTGGGGGTTCTCTTGAATGCTCTCTTGACTGCCCTCTCGATTGCTCTCAAGATTATTTTGTCGATTACTTCGTGGATTGCTCTCTCGATTGCCCTCGGGCTGCCCTCTCGTTTGCTTTCTCGGCTACATTGTCGGCTGCTCGACTTGTCTCTTTAATAGTAGCATTTGCACATACACCCCCCAACCGTTCTCTCTCCGCTGCGTCCGAAGATGGACAAGATTACTGAGACTGTAAGTCCTCCGTTGACACATATCCTCTTTCGTCTCTACTTGGTCCTGATCTAGTTCTTCCTTGCCTTAGGAGCGACTGGATCAAGCGTCTGTCCGTCCTGAACTGGATACGGATACCGAGTCTGTAAGTCCTCCATCGGCACACACACCCCCTTCCATTTTCCCCAGTCCTGATCCATTTCTCTCTTGCCCTAGAAGCGATGGGCTCAAACACTTCTTCAGTCTGAAACGAGCGGCACCACTGAGTTGGTAAGTCCTTCACGTCACATATTCCCCTCTCATCATCCTCCAGTCCTGATCCCATTTGCCCTAGAAACAATCGGCTCAAACATCTCTTCTCGCGGTCACGACAGACCAGGGCTCGCTCGGACAGGGTGGAAGCAACTCAGGCAATGATAGGTCCAATGATGGCCTGGCTAGTACTACTGCCTATACCAATGAAGAGCGTATCACCAGCTCTCTCACTGAAGGTCTCCTGGCCAGGGCATTGTTCACCTCTAGCGTCGAGGAAGAGTCACCTTCTGGGTCCTCAGCTAGTAGTGACTATGGAGCCGTGGCCGATACTCATCGGGGTATTCCACCCTTCTTCGGCGAGAAGTCTGACTCGGATCTCTCTTCCTATAGTGACTACGACGAGTACGACTCCAACAGTGAGCCAAGAGGCGAGTGGTCCGGCATCTATGACGAAAGTTACGATGCCGACGAAGAGGACTGGTCCCAATCTGGCGAAGGGGATTCTGAGGATTGGGACGACACTGAGCAAGAAGAGTCGGAAGTCAACCCCAATCTCAATGAGCGCTTTTTGAGGGTTGTCCGTTCTCCTCCGATGCGGCATCGTCGACCCCTCCCTGGCCAGGGTAAGCGTGGCTGTTAAGTAGTCTGCTCGTACCAGCCTTTGGTTGCACTCCTTGACCAGTTTGTTGGTGTATATACTTTGTTTGCTCTTGATGGCACCATCTCTGCTCTGTTTTGTTGGCGTTTGTTCTCTCTGATTGATCTTTCTTCTTTGTATCACTTAAGACTCTGATTCCCTTCTTCGTCGGCACACCACTTCTCCACCCATCGCATCATGTCATTTGGTGCTGGATGCTTGGCAACTTCATACTCTCTGAATCTTGCAAGATACTCTTTGTAGTATCGAGATGAAATTAGAGAGAGAATTATCACTGCTTCGACCTAAACAGTATGATGTTCCTTCCCGAGAACGTAGCGGTGAGGGGTGGCTCACTCACAAGGGAGTAGTATACTTAGGGCCAACCAACTAGTCGATTAACTACTAGTTACTACTTAGCTAACTAACTTAACTGTCTTATCAATCCATGGAAACACCCCCAGCGTAAGCATTGCAATCCGATCCCTTCTCATTGGCACCGGTCGGGTTCCCCCACTTTTTGACTTGATGAACAATCCAAAGCCCCGAATTCGTCATTCTCTCGTCCCCATTTAAGGACCCGCTGCGCATCTCCCGTTGCTGATCTTCTCTTCTTCATATATACTACTGTCTACTATATGCTAATTAAATAGTATCTGGTAGTATCAACACACCATGGCTTCCGCTACGGGCATTCCCCAAGAACATCCCGACACTATTCAAGAGCAGGAAGATGCGCCCCTGCTGCATACCCCGGGAAATGTTCCCCAGGAGAAAAGCGCTGCTATCTATCAAAACCTCTTTACGGGTGAGTTGATGATTCCTCTGAGTTGAGATAAATTTGTATCCTTTCCCAGCTAATGGTCATTACTCCATTAGGCACAGCCAGTGCAGCTCAAGTTGGCATCTGGATGGTAAGAAGATCCTTGTTGCTGCTGGGATTCTTGTATCGTACTGACTGTTTGCTTTCTCAGCTGGCCATCCTCGTCTGGACGGGAATCTTATCTCATCCCTTGATATTCTTTTCCGCTCATCCCGTAAGTCATCATCACCACCAACACACCACTACGATTATCATCACCATTATTATCGCAGTAAGTAAATTCATAAACTAACTCCTCATCAGCTCCTCAACTCCGCTGCCCTCCTGCTTCAAGTCCAAGCCACTCTCATCCTTCAACCCACCACCACCCCTCACCAAAAACGCCTCGGAACCATCATCCATTACATCATCCAAACCCTCAGTCTCCTCGGCTTCATTACCGCTTTCATCATCATCGAGATCAACAAGGGCGATCATGCTCGCTTTACCTCCCCGCACGGTATTCTCGGTCTCATCACCTACATCTTCATCATTCTGCAGGTCCTGGTAGGTGTCGTGCAATATTTCGTCCCCGTCCAGGTCCTGGGCAGTGTGGAGAAGGGCAAGAGCATCTACAAGTACCATCGCAAGTCAGGGTATGTGCTGCTGCTCTTGGAACTGGCGACTGTCTCGGCGGCGACTCAGACTACTTACAATCTGAACGTGCTGAGTATTCCGCTGTGGGGAGTACTGGTGGCCTCGGTGTTGGTTGTCTTGGGATTGGGAGCGAGGATCAAGAAGCATAAGCTGGGGTTGTAAGGGGACTGGCTATGGCTCTCTGGGGGTCATGATGTTATGGACCATCATGCCGTGGAATGCTGGGAGAGACTGTCCCGGTACTACCGTGGAATATACACTCCAAGTAACTAGTATATAGTGGAGACTTAAGTATAGTACTCGTAGCGGTCAACAGGAGTAATGGTAGTCTTGATTATGCACATTGAATGAATAGCGCTTCAGCACACTTATGATTGTTTTAGCCACTTCCCTGCTTCCTCTGTGCAAGCCCAATCCATGCCAATGCGATTGTTCTCTCCTCAAATCAGTGACCCTGTGGAGCGAACCGCCCGATCGGGAAAGGCGGCCGCGCGAGCATCGCGACATTCAATCTTCAATCCGTTTTCCCTCCATCTTCTCCCTCCAATTTTAACCCTCTCCTCACCAATGGCTCCACCAAGACCCCCCTACGTCTGCATCAATTGCAGGCTGTTCGGCCGTCGTCCATTCTCCTCGTCTACCCGACGAGCAGACCTCGTCCGCCCGGCAACGGCCCCCAAACCCACCCCCGACATCAAGCACATCCGCCAAAACCCCGAGCTCTACTCCAAGAACTGCGTCGACCGCAACTATCCCGCGCACGCCGAATACCCTCTGAAGATCCAGCAGCTGACCGACGAAGCGCGACGTCTCGACCAAGACCTCAAGACCCCCCGAGCCCGCATCAAGGAACTAGAGAAAGCCATCGCCAAAGTCGCCAGCGCCGCCAACAACGACACCTCATCCACCGAACTTGCCTCCCTCCGCGCCGAAGCCACTCGTCTAAAAGATGACTCCAACAACATGGCCACCCGGAAAACCACCTGCACCGACGAAATCCACCGACTCGCCCTATCCCTCCCCAACCTCTCCTCCACCCACACCCCCATCGGCGCCGACCCAACCCTAATCAACTACATCAACTTCGACCCCGAATCACCCCCGACATGGGTAACCCACCCCGACCCCAAACGCTCCCACGTCACCATCGGCACAAACCTAGGTCTCCTCGACTTCACCAGCTCCGCCATCACCACCGGCTGGGGCTGGTACTTCCTGACCAACGAGGGCGCCCTCCTCGAACAAGCCCTCGTCCAATACGCCCTCAGCGTCGCCCGCCGCCACGGCTGGAAAGCCGTCTCCCCTCCCTCCCTCGTATACTCCTACATCGCCGAAGCCTGCGGCTTCCAGCCGCGCGACCAACACAACGAGCAACAGATCTGGTCCATCGAGCAAAACGAAAAGGACAAGTCCAAGCCCCAACGCTCCCTAGCCGGTACCGCCGAGATCCCTCTCGCGGCCATGCACGCCGGCCGCGACATCCCCGCTACACAATTGCCCCTCCGTCTCGTCGGCCCCAGCCGGTGCTACCGCGCTGAAGCCGGCTCCCGTGGCGTCGACACAAAGGGTCTTTACCGTGTGCATGAATTCACCAAGGTCGAGATGTTCGCTTGGGCGGATAACCTCCCTGACTCTACTGCTACTACTACTACTACCAAAAAACCAACTACTACCTCGGATGACCTCTTCGCTGAGCTCCTCTCCATTCAGACGGAGATTCTCACCGCGCTGAACCTCCCCGCCCGCGTCCTCGAAATGCCTACCTCCGACCTCGGCGCTAGCGCCAGTCGTAAGCGCGACATCGAGGTCCTCTTCCCATCGAGACTGCGTGCCGGGGACCTTGAGTCCGGCTGGGGTGAGGTCACTTCTGCGTCTATCTGTACCGATTACCAGAGTCGTCGGTTGGGGACCCGTGTGCGTGGCGGAGCAGCGAAGGAGTCGCGGTTCCCGCATACGGTGAATGGTACGGCGATGGCGGTGCCTCGTGTGCTGGCCGCTATTCTGGAGAATGGGTGGGATGCGGAGAGGGGAGTGGTGGTTGTGCCGGAGGTGTTGAGGGGATTCATGGGTGGGATGGAGGTTATTGGGGGGCAGTGAGTTGGCATGTTGTGTTGTATAGATGGTGTATATGTATGTATGATAGAATATTGAATGAATAGCTGTACTATATTTACTACCTACTACTACTACTTGATACTAGATGGGTTAGGCATTCGGGGTTAAATACTTAGATGGTAAACCCTGTATTGTATATATCCGGCTACCGATCTATATTGGAAAACTTCATCACTAACTAGTAGGTAATTGTATGACATGGCGTGCGTAATCGTGCATGGAGAAACAAACAGAACAAGAAGAGGGGAAAAAGACAGGGAAAAGAATCATAACATCGTGGACACATTCAGGTCGTATCGTTAGTGTAGTATAATTCAGAACATATGACATGACAAAAATTGATAACGAGACGTGAAACGGAAACATAAACAACATAGACCAACATGGATATGCATAGACATCAACAAGGACCATGCAATTGGGGAGAGGGGCGTAGATTATAGAAGCATCAAAAAGCATGAACATAAACCATCAAGCATGAAACATAAGGTATCTGATCGAAAGAATTCGTGACTGAACTTGGTTCCGTAAACTTCCAGGGTATCGTTATTTGGCGTAAACTGCGTAATGAGGGGATATATGTGTTGTCAATAGATAGAGATGTATGCTATCACTCCCAGGGGATATCTTCGTCGTCGACTTTAGTGCAGGTCAAATACGGCAACCCTCCCTCTCCGTATTCGCTCCCTTTCAGATCCAGTTCGAGGAAATTGCGCATGAGCGGCTTGACTATCTCGCGGGCCAGCCGCTTGATTTCGTCCATTTTGCGCTCGAATCGTTTCAGGACTTCACGGGTGTATAGCGATTCGGAGGAAGGGGTTGGGTGCACTTTGAGGAATCGTTTCAGGTCCTCGTGTGATAGGTAGGCTTGGCTGCTGGAGGAGCCGATGAGTCGGTAGACTCGTGCGGCGGACCAGGGCGGTGCGGCGGTTGTGGTTGTCGTGGTGGTGGTCTTGGAAGTCGAGTCCGTGGGGCGGTGGCTCGTCGATTGCGAACTGCGGATGCCATGGGTGCTGGTGCTGGCGTGTGCGTTCGCTGAGGAGTTCTTGAGGATCGGAGTCGGCGGGGGCGTCGTGCTGTCGACGAGCCATTGTCGGAAGAGCGAGACAGCCAGCCAATCTAAGTAGGCGTTGGTGGGACTGACACGCTCGCCGCGGGAGGTGGTCAGGGTGAGCCGCAGGAGCTTGGAGTCGATACGCGCCTTCAGGTCTTCGAGGTCCTCGACCTTATCTTCGATGATGTCCAGGACGGAGTTGGGGAGCGGCGAATACGGTCCGTTGCGCAGATGGGGCAGGCCGGCTGGCCATTGTCCCACGACGTGGATGAGGGCCTCGGAGAAAATGACGCGGCTGCGCGCCAGGTAGCCCAGTTTCAGGTAGCTCGGGGGATACTTGGCGATCTGCTTGAAGAGACGCGAGCCAAAGCCTAGTAGATGGTGGTCAACGCGAGGTCCGGTCACCGGTAGCGCATCGTACATGTCGGCCAGGTTGAGCAAGGCCCGGCACTCGGCATAGGCGGTTGCGATATTGACACTGTTGAGCAGCGGCGGGTAGTTGTAGAACAGGCGGAACAGATTGTCGTAATCGCGAACGATGGGATTTGTGGGTGGGTGTGCCGTCCCAGATCGATGGGGGAGATTGACCACCGACTGCATCCCGGCCAGGTTGGCCATCGACCGGACGAACCCTGTTTGAGAGCTGGACGGTTTGGTCACGGATGGCGGATATTGTCCCGAATCGCAACCAAATGCGCTGGAAAAGCTGGGAGGCTATAGAAATTCGACGATTAGCATTGCTAATGGCAAATTCACACAAGGCTTCTTCAGATTGACTAACCTTTTGTACCAGAATTGGCTCTTCATCCTCCTCCTTGTTTACCCAGTCCAGTTCATACCTCCAGCGTCTCTTTTCGACCGACCAAGCGGATCCTCCACTCTCCGATTGGGCCAGGGTTGACCCGTTTGATAGTGAAGAGGCATCCTCACTAATCCTCGACAGGACGCCCGTGTCCAGGTTTGGCGGCCTCGGCATGGATTGTCGCGACCACTCCTCGCGGGTACTGGCCTCGAAGAAGCCCGAGCATTGCGCCAATATCAATCGGTGCAGGAGATAGCGTCGCTCCTGGTCCCCTGCGCGTACCACAATCTCGACATCGCCCGTGTGCGTGAAAATAGGAAAGTCGTTTTGCTGTTGATGGGTGAGTCCTCCATGATGGGAACGACTGGAACGATGTCGCCGGCTGGAATGAGAATGGCGCGACACGGAGGAGGCAGCGCTTTGCGGCGGGACGGAGCGATCGAGGACCTGAGCTTGAGACACCATTTCGATGGGAGTGACGGTAGTAGTGGGAAACTTGGTGGACATGGTCCGTCAGGAAGAGATGCGCGGTGACCAGACGCCAAAAGAGAGCTGCTGCAGAGAGCGGGCCGTCATTCAAAATCCAACAGCACGCGCCCCGGTCGGGGAATTCGTCAACACGGCCAACGAGGAATGTTTGGACCCGCGACGCCCAGGGACAGAGACAGATTTGCGCCAGAGGAGTTTTGGGAGTGGCGGCGGATTCCCGGTTGTTGATCCCCGCGGGCGATAACAAAGTGGGCCACCGAGAAAGAACTAGAGAACTAGAGAACTAGTAGCAGAAGTTGGAGGGAAAAAGACAAGAACGAGAAAGAGAGAGAGAGAGAAGACCAAAAGGACTAGACTAAGAGAATAATGATCCGAAGAATAGGAGTTCGACTGGACCGAATGCAATCAGAATGCAGCCAAGGCGAGGAAGATGCAGATTGAAGCCGACAGACCAGTTACAGTCGATAAATAAACATAGGGTCCAAAACCATGGCTTTCGAGATGGATTTCCGTGGGAAGAAAGATGGTCTGTGTGCAGCGAGAGACTGGATGACAGCGGTTGATACCTCCTTAGTATCAAGGCCCTGTCAAAGAAGGAAACCCCCCCTTGGCCGTGATCCAAAACCGCTTTGACTCGGAGTGCCCTTTGACTCCTGGGAATTCTGCGACCGACCGAAAAGGAGAAGCGAAAGGATGTCAAGAAGTTCAATCGGGATTCGTTGAGGCCATCGACGGCCTCGCAGTTGCGTTGATCCTCTTGATTGGCTTAAATTGGATAATTGGATCCATCTGTTCAGCTGCCTTTTGTCGGATGATTCCCGACTCCATTCTTTTCCTGTTGCGTCCTCTTCTTCCTCTTTTCGGATTCCCATAAAGAGATACCCCATCAAAAGCATAAACTCCATTTCTTTCCTCATCTTCTCAATCTTTATGATTTATTTCAATGTCCATCCCGCTGGCTGCCCCGTATTCAAGGCATCCAAGGCATCCACCTTGTTCTGTCATGCTCTTGTATGACACTAAGCCTCTTCTGGCTAGCGGGGTTGTAGAGTATGAGTCAGCAACACTCCACCAATAGGATGCTTGATTCCTCTTTTTGGCGGCCTTTGGATTCCTTTGCGGCGCAGTTCCAGATCTTCTTTCAGCCCTCTTCTTCCTCCCCCTCCTCTTCTCGTCATCTTATCTCTCTTACTTCATTTCTTTCTTCGGCCTTGAATCGGCTTGCCGTGCTCTTCATTCGACTAGCAGAATTCAGCACCCCCGAGTGGTGTGCTCTCAATGTGCTGGGTGAAGCTCTCCTCCCCCACACCCCATTCCGTGTCGTGACGAGTCCCAATGATGGCGAGTGTCCTGTGTAGACACTCGTCTCGAGCCGCCTACATCGGATTGCGATTCTCTCACCCACCAGAGCAGTGACCCGTTCGTCTGCTCCCACCCACGGTCCGAAGTGATGTCGAAGGGCTGCTATACCTGTCGTCGCCGCCGCATCATCTGCGACAACGGCTTGCCAACATGCCGCAAGTGCCGCGATGCGGGGAAGGAATGTCTGGGGTATCAGAAGCCCCTCGTCTGGGTCAAGGGAGGTGTGGCCAGTCGGGGAAAGATGATGGGTCGCAGCTTTAATGAGGTTATGCGCCCTTCAGATCTTCGGCGCGGTGACTCGAGCCCCTCTTCCTCCAGCAATGCGTCGCCGCCGTCAGCTGCCGATTCGCCTACCCAGTCTATCGACATCAGCTTATACGTACCCCCCAACGTGTCGGGCATCCAGGGTATCCCAGAACCGATCCAGTCGGAGGATAATGATGATCAGGATACGCACGTTGTCTTGCAAAGAGCTACCTCCGTCTCCGCACCTTGGGGCCTGGTGGATCCGCTGTTCAAGGACCTGAGTCAGCTGTCACGGTTCTACATTGTGCATTGTATGTTTGCCGGTTTATCTACCTGTGTGATCCCTGTCTAATCATCCCGAAGTCAACCAGAACCTTGCCAATTACCTCACCCTCTACTCCGAGACCGGCAACCCGTACCGTGACCTCATTCCCCTGGTCGGCGACTCTCCTCTCCTCGCCCACGTCCTCGCTGCCACCGGTGCCTTGCATTATGCCATCCTGGCGAGCGGGGACTTTTCCTTGACGCCATGGTTGTCGGAGGGTCCCCCAGCAGACCGCACCCTCCTGTCTCCCGAAGAGGTAGAAAAGTCCGTGATCGCCTCGATGTCTCGGCGCCCGTCGTCCAAGGTATATGAGCATTTTCTCGGACTCAAGCAGCGCGCCTTAGGGCAGTTATCGAGTGACATCCGGGATCCCGTTTTGCGCAATGATAACAGGACCCTCGCTGCGATCACGGTTCTCGCTCTTATGGATGCCATTGAATCGGGAGATGGTGCCTGGAAGTTCCACCTCGAAGGGGCCAAAAAGCTTCTCAAAGGCCGCCAAGAACAGGGGGCCTCCAGTCCGCCTCAACACCTCGTCAAATGGCTGGAAGATTTCGCTGTTGACGGCATTCTCCTGTAAGCCATATAACACCCTCCAGATATATGACACATGCTGACATCCATCGTAGCATCCAGCTCATGGGCTCCACCCTCGCTCGCCCAGGGTCCCTAACCAAACCCTTCTATACCTCCAGCATGGGCCCCGCCATGCTCAAACGCCTCGAAGAAACCTCCTA